CATTCTTTAAAGATTGAAAGTTTAATCTCTCATTCCACAAATATTAGTATTAAAAAAAATGTGTGTCAGAAGCTCAGACGCATAAATCAGGTAAATTGGAACCCAGCAACTCGATCGACCACGACCGACCCAGGGTCAACGCTGAGACCTTCTTGATGCCGACGGGTTCTCAGACACTGTTGAACGATATATGTTTCCTTTGTACAGGTGTACACAACCGTTGTAGCAAGTGATAAAAAGATCTTATCCACAATGATTTATAACTAACATTTCAATATTTTACTTAAGAAAACTAGCAAAAGTACGGTTAAATACAAAGACTTTGGAATTTAAATGAAATAGTGCATAAAAAGTTTACTAACTAATTGAATAGAAAGCAGATGAATACAATTTGATTTTAAGAAACTGAATTAAACAGAGGTTAACCTATTGATGTAACAAGGGTAAGGGGAAAAAGTTCATGTGACTTTTTCTGGKCTCACGTAAACAATGCTACAATATTAACGACGTTAATATACTGGCCAAACAGACATGAAATCTTCCCATACTTCCCAGATTTTCTGCTATTTACATTTAGGACAAAACAAAACAGCATATCAGCATAGTTTATAGCCTTACTAGATGAGCTTTATTCCTAAGTACCACGCTCTAAACTCAAGTAGATCTAGCACGAGTTGAAGCCAAACACTCCTTATTCCAATTTTTCAAAAGCGAATAAAGAGGTATTTGAATATGTTGACCAAACACATTGAAACTGAAACGTTAAAAACAACTTCAACTTACAGCCCAAAGTAACATTTGCAGCCCAAAGTAACGTTTACAGCCCAAAAACAATTCACAACATCCTCCCTCTTACAATATGAACTTAGCTATGCAATGTCACACAAGAAAATGGAATGAGAAAATACAAAACTCGTGCACTAAAGAGTACAAAAGAATAAGAAAATGAAGAAAAACAGCAGTCCTTCACTGTATCAGCTCCTTTTGTTGTCTTCTTCGGGTTCCTCTCTAAGTGTCTTCCCTTCTCTCTTGTCTTGTTATCTCTAGCAATTGGTGAAGAATGAATGRCGGCAACCTTGAATGTAAGTTTTTATACCCTCCTTGATTTTAGGGCAACCCAAAGGATAAAGTGGGTCTCAACTCAAACTTTCAGGTATTGTTCCGTTTTAGTAATTTCTCGGGTAAAAGCTGTCACTGTCAGCTCTGTCATTTTTTGCCTTTTTGATTCCGATGCTGCAGCATCAACAATGTTGCATCAAAACATTCAAAATTAGGTCATTTTTCTTAACTTTCAACATTGTCAACAAAAATAAGGAGGATAGTGAACTTATAACATTATTGACACAAAATCAGTGTAGATTGGATGTTAGTGAGGCTATCTTTAGTTATTTTATATGAAATTTTACATATAAATAACTCTCTTTTGGAGAGTTATTAGCCACCAGTCGAGAACCTTGATGGTTCTCTCTCGACCTCTGTGCAGCCCGACCCGAACCTACCTTGTCTCGACTCTCGATTCAACATTAGGCCTACGACGAAACACACGGGCAAAAGAGTCTAGATCTTATGGGCACACTAGGATTCGACTTCTGTAAATCCTAAAAAAGATTATGTTTCGACTTTTATAATTCTTAAAGGGATTAGGATTCAACTTCTATAAATAAAATGGCGAACCAAACGCTAGAGGTAGTCCAAAACACCCTACTCTTCATACTCGACTACTCTGATTCTGACTTAATCATCGGAGCCTATGTAACGAGAGCCACACCGGTCTTTAGTGCTATTCTRTTTTACAGGTCTCGTTGATCTCTTCTATTCTAGAAGATTGGTGAGAATTTAGCAGAATTCCAGGATGCCAAATTTCTGCATCAACAACCATAAACCATACTTTTTAATAATACGATAAGATTTTAATCATTTCTATAAATACAATAATATTTATGTTTGTACATAAATAAATTTTCTAGTTTGCTAACTGTTTTTTCCTAATGCATTTCATTTCGAATAAAATAATCTTTTCTATTGTATGAATATCGATTTTTACTGCAAATTTTATGGTGCATTTTGTTTCTTGTCAAGTCCAAAATTATTACATTGCCTTCACATTTGATTAAGTAGAAATATAGAAAGAGTAAAGTTGATTTTCGCTTTTCTATTGATGAATCGAGAATTATTATGTTGCTTTCGCTCTAGATTAACTAGAAAAAGTAAGCTTGATTTGTTAAGTGATTAGCAGGTTGGTTACATATATCATTTTATTTTTTAATTATGGCATTTCCTCTTGATTTATCACACTTTTTATTTAATTTTATACCTTTTTTTTTCTTTACTAAAAAAAAGTACTCATTGGAGGAGGTTGAGAATATATATATTAGAACAGTTAGGATAAATATATAGCTATGTAAAACTAACAAACAAATCACAGCATAACTGGCTACCACTATTATAGATGATGACAATGTAAATAAAACTAAATACTATGTATGTTAGAAATGCGGATAACTAAAATTGAACCARAGAATAAATATAGAAGATGATATCTCTGTAAATGATCATAATGATAGCGGCAAATAAGCTAATCTTGTAGAAAACCAAAAGTGACGAAAAATAGTCGAGACACACACTACAGGAGCACTTGAGACAATTTTTTACTCTTCACATATTGCTAGCAGACTATACATCGATCGTCTTAGCAGAATATACTTGAATCTGACAAAACTCCAACAAAAAGCAATCTCGAAACTACTTGAATATGGTAGAACTCTTAGATACTTTGCTCTCAACATAAACATGACACAACAAGATAAAGAAGAGAGAATGATAATTGTGAGAGGAGGAGAAACACGAATGTAGGATGCTTGGATACTTAATGAAAATAAAGAAAACAGCTATATATAGTTGCATAAATCTATAACTCCTCACATAAGAATCTAACTTTAACTTTGACATAAAATAATAACGAAACAAAAATGGCTAGAGAAATAAATGAATAGGTACTCGAAATGTCAACAATTACACTCTAAATGTAATTATTTATATCGAGTCAAAGATAGATTAAAGAGACGTTCACACGATGTATCTATGAATAAAATGAGTCGATTCCACGACAGAGTCACAAAATTATTTAAATTCTTAATAGTTACTAAATTCATAATTACCCCCAAACATTTCTCAATCTCTTTCAAATTCTAACCATCGCTTTCTCTCATACATTAACAACAAAACAGAGAAAGTGCACTAATAATTAAAATGTAAGATTTGTTTTTTGGGAGATAGTTTGAAATTTATAAATTTCAACAAAGAAAAATGAATTGGAGAGCTTTTCTACCAAGTTAATGTTGGATAAATATACGTTGTATATATAAACTGTATAATATTGACAAACAGATTACAACGTCATTACTACAAACAATATACACTTTGACAATTTGATGAACACCAAACTTAATAAATATAGTCGAGGACGCTACAATAGCGCTGACGAAGACAATTATTTGATCTGCACAAGTTGCTAACAGACTATAACGATCGTCTCAGTAGGATACAACGACTGACTCTGGTAGAATTGCAACCTTGAACTACTCGGATCTGGCAAAACTCTTAGATACTTACTCTCAATACAAACAAGAATAATACCACAAAAGAAGAAGGAAGAACTCTTGTGAGAGGAGGAGGAACTCAAATGAGAAAATGCTTGATATCTCAAATGAAGAAAACTACAATTATATATAGTTGTCCAGAACAAGTAACATCTCACAAACATCTTTAACACATATAAAGTTACAAATGTAACTTTGTAACTTTAACAAAATAAAAGGAAAAACTCCTTATTTAAACCTATAACTTCAATTTTTTAATAAAATAAAGTAACATACCAATTAAAGAAATAAATAAACAAAACAAAATGAAACAAAATTCACAACGTATATGTGAATTAAAACTTACAAATTTAATTTCTGGATATTAAATTTATAATATTCAATTGTTTATCAAGATTTCAAATTCCACTTTCTTCCCCACTTTAAAAATCCAACAAGATATGATCTCAATCTATAGCATTATATACCCATCATCATTCCCTCATCTCCCTGATGTGAGATTTTATTTTAGTTGATCTCACTTCAAACAAAGTACTACATTGATCCTCGCCTAAAATATTATACTCATTTAACTATCTAACGTTTTTCCAGAGCTCACTACCAATTAGATATCCAAAAGATTTAATACCAATGGAAATGTTGTCCCCCACTTATATATATTCATAATTTTTCTTCTCTGTGGGACTTTGATCATATTTCCAACAATAAACATGTTGGTGGAACGTGCATTGATCATGAAAGTTGGTCGTGGCTTGGTTCCTCAATCGATCCATTGGTTGTAGGATTTTCGTTGGGGCTAAACTAAGCTTTGACCGGATATACATAAGTTATTTGAAAGTCTTTAGCTATATGCAAGTTATCACAAATTGTATATTGGCTAAGCAAAGATATATATATATATATATATATATATATATGAATATAGATGGTCATATCCAAACATTAGTCTCTATATGTCTTATCTAAGTATCTAATGCCCTAAATTTGTTGTTCTAACAAAAAGTTAGCCCTGACAATAATCCTAGCAGTAATTTGTTCATACAGTTCCTAATTACCCAATTTTTTAGGGGAAAAAAATATTAATAACACAATTTAACGTTAGTTAATTACATTTGTCCAAAGGAAAAAGACAATACATTAATTACCCAATTTAATTATAACTTTCCAAACCAAAATTACATCTATCCCACATAAGTCAAAAAAAAAAAAAGTCTTCACAACATAGTTGTCCTTAATAACCATTAGATATGCAGATTCGAAATCTCAATGCTCCAAAAACATTAGATACAAATTCAAAATACGTTTTATAATGATCTTTTGGTAAAAAAAAAACAACTCTCTAATCACGACGTTTTAGCCTCGTCAAATAATTTCTCAAAAGCGATCGGGGCCAAATAGATATATAACAAGTTACTTTCATTATTAACCAAAACAAGGGCAGTCGATTCCCAAACAACCATATTTGCACACTCATTTAGTACATACTTTTTCTTCCTTTTGTGTGACACACAGCTGAAATATAATTAGACAAAATAGAAAGAAAAAGTTACAAAATATTATGTTCTTGTTCTTTATATCTTCACTGCACAACAATGCTTAAACCCAAATCCAAGCTTATATCACTTGCAATTTTCTGTGCATCATTGGAAATTCCAAGCAATCCTTGTCTTCCAAATCCAGAACAATAGAAGCCATTTTCCCCTTTCCAATGATCTGGGAACCTTTTATTTGGCATCCCATCTTCATTGAAGTGATTTTTGTCATCCTGTGAAATTATTTTTGATGAATAATTTGAAACCCATTTGATATTTCATCATGGGGTTGTAAAGGAGAGTAATATTAGGGTTTAATTTTGTGTACCTCAAGCCAGTTGAGCACAGTGCTCTTGTAACCTGTGGCAAAGATGATGGCATCAAAGCAATTGATTGTTCCATATGCAAATCTGGCTTGGTCTCCCTTTATGCTTGTTAGAGATGGAAGAACCTGAAAACATGCATAAATGAGTTGAGAAAGAGATGCATTTGGGCAGTAGAGAAGATAGATTTTGGAAGTCGATCATGACATAGCTCAAATGGTTATTTTCGACTAAAATATAATGTTAGAGGTTCGAGATTAAGGTGTGTTTGGAAGTGATGGTAGAATGAGTGATTTTGAAAAAAGAGATTTAAGTATAATTGATTTTTACAAAATCACAGTCGAAGTAAGACCTTAAAAATTAATTTAAAGTGATTTTAAGCTCTCCTAAAACCAATTTTCTAATTTACCAAACATGATCAGTGAAAAAGAAGTGATGTCGACAATAACAAAAGTGATTTTGACTATGCAAAACCACTCCCAAACATACCCTAAGGATAGCGAGAACAAAGAGACTTACTAAAAAGTAATTTAGAGGAAAGACAACAACATAACCAACGGCATCAGAAACACAACGGACATCAAAATCGAAGGAAAAAAACAACTCAATTATGAAAATAATCACAAACAGGCCCTATCTGTGGCTGAAATCTAGAACACAAAAGCTTTTCTGCTAAGAAGTAGCACAAGCATACACATCCCTATAAAATAACCAGAGTCGAACGAGGGACACCTTAGAAACCTAATACCCAACCTTCTAAATGTGACTTCAAATACTTGTCGTCCACGTAAATCTCTGTCAATCAATCAAGTAATTAACGAATAAAAGACGGTATCTACGTCGTATGAAACCCTAATTTAGAAATACCTTGATCTCTCCTCTCTTAATCCTTTTCATGCATCCAACATCAATGGTGGGGGAACGACCAGTTTTGGCTTTGAGAAGAAAAGGGCCTCCTCTTGGCCTTTGAATCCCATACTTAGACGAATTTCCATACTTCAACTTTGCAAGATGTGTGCTAATGGCATCCACAACATTACATGGAAGAAACTTCAGTAAGAACATCCCTAATCGAACCATGTCTCTGCTTAACACATGTACCTGCCCACAAATATATACCAAAATTATATACTCTTAAGATTTCAAAACCCTAATAGGAAAAAGAAAAAAAACCTAGCTAACACCCAATTTAGCAAAACAATTTCTAGTGTAAATTTAGACTACAATTTTTTTATTTTTTTTATTTTTGTTATTTAGAGCTTCAATCACATTTGAAAATTAGTGTAAATTTAGACACAATTTTGAAAGTTAGTGTAAATTTGGACACAATTTTGAAATCTTAGCCAAATTTCAAAAGCAAAAAGCATATTTTTGAAAATTAGTGTAAAGCTCTATTTGCACTGCAAGGAAACAGTATCGTCGCTAAGTGCGTCGCGTGAAAGTCGTCGTCAATGGATGCACGCGACTTAAAGGCTAGCGTCACTAGTACCAGCCATGAAAATAATGGTTTTGTTTTGTTTTAAAAATTTAACTACCTAAATTTTTTATGATAAAATTTTCACTTTCTAAAAACATTCAGCTTGCAATTTTAGTCAAATGTTAATGACAAGAATAAGTCTTTGAAAAATAAGTTTGGCTAAAATCTGAAAAAATAAATATACTAGAAAAATGTAGAAATTTAATAATTGGAAAATAAAAAAGATGTTGCTAATTAAGCATGATTTTTAAATACGCTTAAAAAAAACAAAAACATTATCAAATCAACCCACGCCTTTAAATTCTAAAAACCTCGCTAATAATTTTAAAACATTTTCAAACAAAGGTTTAAAAAATAAACGTGACTAAACAAACATAATTTTTTAGATAAAATACTTTCACGACCAATCTGCATCTATCTTGGACTGACCATCATTAAATTGCTCACAAAATAAGATAGATAATGCAAGAAATTTCGATAGGGGTAAAAAAAAAGTGATGATGAGTCAGTACATAAATATTGTTTATTTTTCAAATCTACAACCTAGAAACCAAAGCATTATCAAACCGACCCAAAATGAAAAAAACCGTTACCGGGCTCCGAGCGACGATGGAAGTATTTGCGGCATGGTTAGAGAGATCATAAGCAATCTCCATGCCAGAATTTCCACAGCCAACAACCAAAACATCCTTCCCTCTAAACCTCTGCCCATTCAAGTAGCCACTAGAATGCAAAACCTCCCCATTAAAGCTCTCCAACCCCGGAATCTCAGGCAAAAACCCTTCACTATTTTCCCCAGTCGCAGCCACAAGAAACCTACAAATATACTCGTCTCTCACACCACTACTCTTGTTCTCCACCAC